AAATGTTGGGACCCTATTCCCAGAGGAAGCCCCTGTCAGGAATAAGCAGCTCCCGGCTCTGTGGTGAGGTGACAGCCTTGTGCTGCATCATACGTTATCCTCTGGTCTTTCCTTCTGGTGTCTCTCTAACCTGGGTCCCCTCCCCTTCCCCACCATCTCTGCCACAGGCCAATGCCATAACTTCTTGCCTGGACTATTATACCACTCCTTGCGTGTGACTCTCCATCCTTTCTCCAGAACTTCCCATCACACCTTGTCCTCTATCCTGTCACCAGACTGATACTTCCAAAATACTAGCCTGACCCTGTCACTCCCAGGTTTGAACACCTCCAAGTGTCCCACATTGTCCAAATGCTTTCATTCCAGCCATGACACTCCACCCTGGTGGCCTGTCGGGATCCCTTGGGATGCTTTAGAAAATGCAGATGCACAGACCTTGCCTGAGATCCACTGAGGCAATCTGTGGAGGGAAGGGGAACTTCTGCTCACCTCGACAGGTGGTAAAAGCTGAGAGTCACAGTACTGGCATGGCAAAGAAAGACCCAGTCACCTCTGTAGGGGGGCTCCCATCAAGCTCTCCTTGCCAGACTGAGAAACCACATTCCCCCCAAACACACCACACTCCACGCTTTCTCTTTGCCACCAAGTCGCCTTCACTGGAGGTGCCCTGCCTCCCCTCAGGTCCCTTGCTTCTCCCCTGACGACTTCTCCTTCCAGACCTGAAGCCGACATCACCTCCCCATGAAGCTCTCTCCCTCCCTCTGGTAACCCCACCAGGATCAGTCACCTCACCCAAACACAGATTTCAGTCCATACCCTGGTGACTCACCCTCCCACTGTCACACTTTGCTTTCCTGGCCACCTCCCCCACTACTCGAGAGCTGCTAGAGGACAGCGTTTGCACCCGCTCATCCCTGCCTTGCTAGTGTCCCGCACAGAATAGACAATGCTCTGGAAACCTGTCCAAACGCTGGTGAGACGCCTGTCTCCACTGCTGCCCGGTACCTGGCTCACAGCCTGTCCCTTCTATGTGTGCTTTTGTTTGCTTTAGTTTGTTCTAAAGGGCAGATATTGTCCCTGGAAGCTTCAAAACCTTAATGACTCATAATCTAGCTCTGAGAAAAGTGTATGAACCTTTCTGAAAAGCAGAAACCCCTTCTGTGGGCCCAAAGTCAGTTACCAGAGCAGAAGCTGCTAGCTCTGGGCATGTTAAAGGAAAGTTGGGCACGGAAGTTTAGGGCTGGAGTGTTTTCCTCAGTCAGACAAAGGCCCTTTGAAAAATGAGCTGTCCCCACTTCCTTCCCTGCCCTCAACAGAACCTTGGATGGGTCAGCAGTGGTCTTCTCTGCCCTGTCCCTGTGTGCACCCAAGGTCCTACAGGCAAAGAAGGCAAGAAGCCACTCCAACTTCCAAAGATCTTCTCCCAGTGGTAGAAACCCTGGCTTAGTGAACACGGGGCATGTGCTTTGTAATCTGCAGCCGTCATGGGCTTCTTTGGAGCAAGAAAACCATTGGCAGCCCCCATGACAGAGCTGCTCAAAGGGTGGGCACCAGCAAAAAAGTTTTTTTTTTTCTTGCATAGCAAGAGAAACTAGCAAGAGAGTAAAGAGACCATCCACAGAACAAGAAAAACATAGTTGCAAGCTATGGGTCTAACAAAGGTCTAAGATCCAGGATCTGTAAGGAACTCAAACAAATTGATAGGAAAAAAAAAAAAACAATTCCATCAGAAAATGGGCAAAGGACATGAACAGACACTTTTCAACGGAAGACATTCAAGCAGCCAACAGACATATTAAGAAATGCTCAGCTTTGTTCAACATCAGAGAAACACAAATCAAAACTACAATGAGATAGCACTTCACACTGCTCAGGATGGCAGTCATCAAAAAGTCAAAAAACAACAGGTGCTGGTGAGTCTGCAGAGAAAAGGGAACACTTCTACACTGTTGGTGGGAATGTAAGCTAGTTCAACCTTTGTAGAAAGCAGTGTGGTGTTTACTCAAAGAACTAAAAATTGAGCTACTGTATGACCCAGCAATCTCTCTTCTGGGAATATACCTGGAGGATCATAAATCACTCTACCAAAAAGACGCTTGCACACGCATGTTCACTGCAGTACTATCCACAATGGCAAAAACATGGAACAATCCAGATACCCATCGGAAGTGGACTGGATAAAGAAAATATGGTACATATACACAACAGAATACTACACAGCCATAAAGAAAAAAATCATGTCCTTTGCAGCAGTAGGAATGCAAAGACCATTTTACTAAGTAAACTATAACAAAAATAAAGAACTGAATACCACATGTTCTCACTCATAAGTGGGCCTTAAACGTTGGGCATGTGAGCACAAAAGCAGGAACAACTGACACTGGGCACTGCTAAAGGAGGGAGGGAGGGAGAGGAGATAAGGGACATACAACCACATGCTGGGTATAATGTCCGCTACCGAGGGAGAGAAGCTTGCTAGAAGACCAAACCTCACCTTCGCACAATGTAGTGAATCCTCACATGTACCCTTCAAATCCAAATTTTAAAAAAAGTGAATGGTCACCAGTTCAGCAGCATCCTCCTGCCCAGGCCCACTGAACCAGAAATTGAGAGGGCACCCAGCAATCTGGGTGTTAGCAAGCACATTTAATGAGCGTATTACAAGTTGAGAAACTCAACTCACCACCCACCAACCCTGGCTCAAGTCAGTCCTGGGATTTGATTCACTTTGCAAAGGAGATTCATTTCTAAAAAACCTGAACCACTCGGATGAGTCCAAGGCATCAGAATCACAAAGGTGAGTACCCTACATGCAAACAGGTCACAGAACACAGCAGAAGGAAATTTGAGCCAGGTGCAGTGGCAGGCACCTGTAATCCCAGTTACTCAGAAGACTGAGGCAGGAGGATCTTGTGGCCAAGGACAACATAGCAAGACCTCCATCTCTACAATTTTTTTTTAATTAGCCAGGTATGGTGGTGTGCACCTGTAGTCCCAGCTGCTTGAGAGACTGAGGCAGAAGGATCACTTGAGCCCAGGAGCTAAAGGTCACAGTGAGCTATGATCCCACCACTGCACAGAGGTAGACTCCATCTCTAAAAAATATATAAAGAATTTATAAACATTTTTTCAAAAGGAATCCCAGGAGAGGACTTGGAACTAGGAAGTTGTACAGATGAACCTTTCAGACAGATGAGGAAATTAGCTCAGGCTCAGGCCCTGATGAGGCTGGATCAAGACCAGAAGTCTGGCAGGCCTATGGAGACATTCTCCTGAGAGAGCCCCTCACAACCCACCACCTCCACCACCTTCTTCTCTCAACCCTATTTTTTTCTCCCATGGCAATTACTACTTCTTGAAAAGATCGATTTGTGTGCTGTTTGTTGTCGGTCTCCACCACTAGACTATAAGCACCAGGGCAGGAGCATTTGCATAACACCAGTGCTCACATTAGAACCCGGCACCTAGACAGGACTTACTGTGTTAATGGATAGATGGATGGACAGACGGATGGGTGACAGCACACAAGCTCCATCACTATAAAGGCTATGTCTGTTTGCGCACCCCCAGAGCTCTCCTCTGCTTTCCTGTGCCTGCACACTGCCTCAGACGCAGATGGACACCTGATACATTCTCATTGGATCAGCAAATGGCAGGCAAGCCCCTTGTTGAAAGACCAGTATCCACCCTGCAACGACTGCACTCCAGTCACTCAGCACCAGAGCCAGCCGTCACTGTGGTCTTACTCAGTGTGTCTGCCAGGGAGGGTGAGAGAGGGGAACACTGAAGACTTACAAGGTTGATAAAAACTGTTTCTAGAAGTTGAAACCTAGAGAAACTAAGCGATAAATGACACTCCATCCTGGAGGGCCAGCATGGGACTCAGGGCTTTCGCCTGCCTTCCCACATGCTCGCTTCTACTTTCCCAATGTCATAATTTCCCACTATGCAAACAAGAAACCACAGCCAAGTGGAACCCATCATCACACCTGAATGGCACCTACACTTGCACTTAGGCTTAATTTAGAATTCAAGTGTGCTTATGTGGGAGAAATAACACAAGGCAAACTATTTCTTAATTAAGTGGTTTATTACATTTTTTTCTTGAATAGGTGCTTAAGTTACTTTAATGGTCACTGACTTCGCTACAAAAAAAAAACTTTTAGAATGATAAGAAATAAGCAAAAGGGACTTGACCTTGCCACGTGTCCAATCAAACAGTAAGCCTCATGGTCCGAGCCGCCTCAGGAAGCCAGGGTTCCAGCAGTGTGGGAAACCAGAAGACAGGGGGACTGAGGCCTGGTGGGCATGACAGGGGGTCCTGGGAGAGTCTTTGGGAGGCACCAATCTTCGAAAGAGTCGAATCGTGTGAGGTTGAAATGAGTGAGAATTTATTCACAACACATGCTGATCCATGAACGTGATTGTGCAGATGGCTGGGAAGAGGGCACATCAAGGTAGCAGGAAGTGGGTACTTTGGTTTCTAGAATGCTGGGCAGCAAGAGGGACTCAGCGGAAGGGAAGTCCACCGGGATCCCTTCTCATTCCTTTTCTTCTTCCTCATAACACTAGCAATTAAAAGGGGGAGAGGTACACATTTTTCCTTAAAACCCAGTGGGGAAAGGAGGTTATAAGCATCAGGTTGCCTTGGCCCTCACCCTGGGGAATCAGAACCCCTTTTAGGTGCTTGTTTTCAGAGAAAACATTTGCATTATAGCAGAACTTAATCTATAACAATTTCTAGAGATTTTCAGTTGGGGAAGTGGTCTATTGGTTACCGCAGATGGGTTAGATGGGTTGAAGGATTTTGCAGCTCTGACATTGTCTCTCCCCCACACACGGTGCCACCCCTATTCTGATGACTGCAGCCCCCTCATGTAGATGGGCAGAAATGCAAGTGACAGGAAAGGAACCTGTGACCTGAAGCCTGAAGGTGTGACAGTTCTGTGGTTATCTCATGGTCTCAGAAATGGAGGCTGTGAGCCTTCCTGAACCTCCACCTACCAGTCCCCATAAACCACCCCACCCCCTGGCTCCCACAGCGCACCCGGTTGCTCACGTCTCCTGCAACGATAGCTCCCATGGGCCATCAGAGCGCTCTCATGCCTCCCAGTGTCCGCTTCTTTCTGCCCAGGACCTGCTCACTGCTATAGCCATGAGGGCGGATTTTCAACTCCACATAAGGAATGGAGAATTCATGTCCTTTCCATGGCTCCCAGTTCACTCCCTACATTAAAAAAAAAGTCACAACAGCAAGAGGTACTTGGGTAAAGGACATGGTGGGTTATAGTATAAAGGAATCCTTCTTTACCTGTGAAATCACTCCCTTTCTGCTTAGGGGAGAGAGAGAGAGACCTATGATGACGGAGTTATACAAAGGGGTGAGGGCGGGATTGGAAACATGTGCCCTCTGCTGGCTGGCTAAGGTTAGCAGGGCTGAGGGTGGAAAGCCTACAACCTCTACTGTGGGAGGACCAGGTGTGAGGCCCAGGGGTGGGTGAGGCTGGAACAGGAGCAAAGATGGCAGGAGTCAACCTGGCCAGCAATGGGCAAATTTCCTTGGCCTCACTTTTATTTTCCAAAAAATTAAAGGAAAAAATAAACATATTAATTGGCCCGTTGTGTAAAATCATTTTCAATTTAGACTGTTTAGATATTAGCTCTGGGGTAACAAACACTCCTCTGGAAATGAAATTTCATTTTATGTCTTTTGACTGGTGAGCACAATAATATCTAATTCACTTAATAATCTTGCAACCTGGCCAATGAGGAGCCAAGTGACCGATTTTATGTATTTTAATTTGTGAGGTAAATAATAAACAAGAAGCTAAATGCCTTGCAGACTGTGAAAAGCACATTAGCCAGATGAATGTCTGTTATTAGCAAATCTGGGGATGGTTTAGGGCATGCTGGCTGCTCAGTTCAAATATGTGATCTCCTGTCACAGGATTCTGTGCTGGCCCACATGCTACCACCGTGATTCATGGGCCTCCCTCCTTGGCTTCCCTGGGGGTAAATTTCTTCTTCCTTTTGAAAAATCACATAAAGATTGGGAGTCCCTGCTGCTTGGTCAGGGCCAAAGCAATCGAAATGGAACTGGGCCTTAGATGTGCTAATATTTACAGTAACACTGGAGGGAGGTGAGTTCTGGGGAGTGGTGGCTTCCTAAAGGATTAGGATCAGGCAGTAAGATGAGAAATTAGAAACCCGGGATGGGGACTGGGAGGGTCTGTGGAGGGGAGAGGATTGATAAGGAGCAGAAACAAGAATGCAATTTTTGAGATGCTGTGAGGAAGCAGGCAGGAAGTACCCTGCAGCATGAAAGAGTCAAGATGATACAGGGGTTGTAGGGGTTCAAGAAATCACAGGTGGGAAGGCTTCAGAGCAAGGGAGGGCAGAGGGGCCTCCTGGTCCCGGCCCTGGGTGATACCCCTGACATGGAGAGACTGGTTTAGCACAATGTCCCGGGCAGGCTTTGGGAGCTTTGGGTGAAGGGGATCCCAGGGTAGGTCTGACCTAAGGCACAACAGACTTTGTTTTCCTGGTGATCGAAGGACTTGAGAGAAATAGTTCTGTTTTAACTAGAAGAACAACTAGTAAAAATTACAAGTGGCTGTTATAAACCAAATGTCTGTCTCTTCAGAATTCATGTGATGAAGCCTCACCCCCAAAGTGATGGCATTTGGAAGTGGGGCCTTTGGGAAGTGGTTGGGTTTAGATGAGGTCATGCCAGCAGAGTCCCATGTTGGGATGAGTGCTCTTGTATAAGGAGGAAGAGGCCGGAACTCCTCCCTCTACCACATGAGGAGACAGTCAGACGCCTCTGTCCACAGGCCAGCAAGAGTCTCCACCAACAACCAAACTTGCTGGCACCCTGATTTTGGACTTTCCAGTCAACAGAACTGTGAAAAATAAATGTCTGTTGTTGAAGTCACCTGGTCGGTGGTATTTCACTATGGCAGCCTGAGTTGACAGTGTCCTGTGTGAACTAGTAAAATGAAATGGTGTGTGACACACATCAGGGGTTATCACACAGCAGCAGGCAGGCCAAGCTTCCTGAAAGTAAGTGAACAGCATGGTAGGGATACGGAGAGGGCGGGGCCATGGTCCACAGGTAGGAAAGGCCCCGACCTCAAGGCTATGAAACCTGGAGAAACTCTACTGCCTCAACTGGAAGCTTTGGAAGGAGAGAGGCTGCCAGGCAATGCCTGGAGGGTGTCCCTGTGGGAGCTGAATATGGGCAGAGCCAGGACAGAAAATATGTCACCCGTCACCTACCTCGCTGTGCTTGGTCTCCCCATATCGGCCATTGGGGTTGGCCAAGTGGCAGTTCTTATACCACCAGCCACCGTGGTGCGTCAGGGCACAGTTGCTGAGTGCAATGTCGTTGTCTCTGTCAAAAGTCGTGAACTTCCATCCACTGTGGTAAGTGAGAGCATCCCCTGTAGGAGAGAAGAGACAGGAGGTGAGAGCCCAGGTTCAGCCACTGGGGAGATGATCAAGAGGGGACCCGCCAGGAACATCTAGGCATAAAAATGCCAAGGATCCAGTCAGCTGTGTGTCGCAGGTAGGCATCATGCTCTCAAAATGGCTGGTATGACCTCTTTCTACACAGTCTTCATGGCATTTCTACTTGGATGCCCCACAGTCAGGTCAAATATCCAAAACTCAACATGTCGACTCTCCCCAAAGTCCCTGACTGCCCTTCATACAAGAAAACCACTCTCCGTCCTCCCTGCCTCTGCAAAGGCTCAGCCTTCTTCCATCACCCAGATCTAAAACCTGGTTCAGGACTGCCAATCCCTTCTTCCTTCTCATCAAGTCCTTTGTGCCACGGATCATGTACCTGTGCCCACCTTTCTGTTCCCAATCATCCCAGACCTCTTCTCACCTCCCTGGCCCTGTATTAATACAAAAGCCACCTTCTTTTTAAAAAAAATTTTGTAAAGACAAGGTCTTTCCATGTTGCCCAGGCTGATCTCAAACACCCGGCCTCAAGTGATCCTCTCACCTTGGCCTCCCAAAGCACTGGGATTATAAGCCAACAAAAGCCTTCTTGCCTGTCGGCCCCTTGGAGACTTAGACATCCATTTTCATCATCTCAGGTATAACCTTCTTATTCCCACCACAGAGAGGCGAACTCTTCTTCCTCATTCACAGACCTGTGCCATGACTGTACCCTCCAGAGATCCTGCCATCCCGCCGTCTCCACCACACCCTTCACTGTGGACGGTCCACCTTCCCTGGGTTTCTCTCTGCCTTCATTGGTCCAGATCCTAATCGTCCTTTCAAAGTCCCAATCAATGCTCCACCCCACTCCTGAGAGTCTCCCGGCTAGTCTTCCACCCACCCTTCTGACATGCACATACACACACCTGAATTCTGTAGCCTTTCTGGGGACACATGGACAAGTTCATGCTTCTCACATCCAACCTGGTAATCTGCTTTAGTTACTTTACTTGTGTTTCTCCTCTGTCCCTACTATATGTGCCATCCTTCTATGAGCTTCCTTTCATTCTCAGCCCATAAAGGGCAACGAAAGCCCCGTCAATCACCAGCTTAGTCAAGCTCTGTTCCTGCGGTAATGGCACTCACATGTACATGTCATCTCTGTGTTACATCATCTTCATGTAACGGCAGGCAGGCAGCTCTCTGTCCCACGAGATGACAGACACAAAGTTAGACTCTGGGGACTTGTTATGGGCCCAACAGGCCACAAATGGCAGAGGTGGGATTCAAACCTTGGTCCCCAGGCTCCCAACTCAGGGCTTTTTCTGAGACACTAATCCACTGTGGTTTCCTTATGTCCACAGGGGCTTCCATTCTGCTAACAATGGTTCTTCCAGTGGAGTCCCAGGCCAGCAGCACCCACATCATCAGGAAACTTGTTAGACATGCAGATTCTTGGGCCCCACCCCAAATCTAGGAATTATAGGGTGGGCCCCGGAAACCTGCACTCCCACAAGCCTTTTGGGTGATGATGATGCAGGCTGGAGGGTGAGGATCGCTGGCCTGCACATCACCAATCTATTAATCAGGGAACATTTGCTGAGCATCTGCTATGGAGCGGCACATGCCTAGATCTGGGAATACAAAACTGAGGCAGTCCTCGTTCTCCAAAACTTAGTCAGGGTGGGCGGCCTAACAAGCCCCCCAAGTCTACAGTCCTCGCAGCAGACCCTTCATGCCTGACCCAGCAGAAGCAGGAAGAGGAAGCTCCCACACACACACACACACAGAAGGACGGCTCTGCCCCCTCGTTATCTCCAGTCTAGGAAAGGGACATTGTCAGTTACTCACATGCATTTCCTCCTCCCTTCAGACTCTTACAAAAAGTTAACTACAGCTTGAACTAACATGTGCCATTTCCCTGAGTAACATGCTTTAAATGAGCACAGCTTACCTAATTTGCACAGAAAGTTCCCAGAGCTGTTTTCTAAGACTCTGTGCAGAGGCTTTGTTGTTGTTGTTGGGGTTTCACTCTGCTGCCCAGGCTGGAATGCAGGGGCATGATAATGGCTTACTGCAGCCTCGACCTGCTCGGCTCAGGTGATCCTTCTACCTCAGTCTCCCGAGTAGCTAGTACTATAGGTGTATGTCATTATACCCCGCTTTTTTTTTTTTTTTTTGAGAGACAAGGCCTTACTATGTTTCCCAGGCTGGTCTTGAAACTCCTGGCCTCCCAAAGTGCTGGAATTATAGGCGTGAGTCACCCACCACATCCGCGGGAACAAATCTTAAGTTGCATATTTCAGCCAGGCTGCACGTACATCAGTTCTAATCAGAATTACAATTAAGTTAGAAGCTGGGGAGAGCTGGCACATGCACAGAGGTATCCAAATGTTCACTTTCCATTTGAACACTGAGTCCTCTAAGTAGGGCCTCATCATTCAGGACATGAGTAGCCAGAAGCTTCCTAAACTGTAAAACCCTCCTTGTAGACCAATCCGCATATAAAGAAAGCTAAGCCTCCCCTAACCCCACCATTGTAATTCCAACTTTAAAAGCTAGAATCATAGTACACACGGGAAGCCTGGATGGCTGCCTAAATGCTGTGTGAAAGTGTCCTATTAAAGAATACCTCCACTACAAAGTGGCACTGTGGGCCTGAACAGCCTTAGAGCAGGAATTATCCCCCAACCACAGCTAAAATGCAAATAGAATAACTAAGAGGAGAATTACATTAAGTCACGAGAATGTTGACTGCCTTTCACTCATGCTCTCATTAGTGTCAGTTCATTTACTGGATTATTCTAAAACAGGCTTCAGAAAAGGCACATTTTAATGGTTGAGGAAAGGGAAAGTATAGCCTGGGAGGATGGCCTGAGTGAGGTGCCAACCAGGAAGCCAGTGAGGACACTGAGTTTCAGGGAGAGATGTGGGGCACAGGAACCAAAGGAAAGCACCCAACTACCCCATGTGGTATCTTGTCCCGGGAGTGTCCCACAAATGGAGGCTGTGACGAATGACCCTCTGTAACCTGAGAAAGGAAGGCTGCTGCTAACCCATGGCTGTGGTCAAGAACAGAGAACAGGGTACTGGGACCCAAGGGATGAGCAGAGAGGCTCCATGTGGACAAAGACCCTTAGACCCAGGACCTAAGGGACACTGGAATATGCAGGCCCTGTGATACCAACAGGTGGGAGGTCCCAGAATACACTGTCAGGAATGTGGCCAGATCCGATTTAGAGACAGGGTGCGAGGAGGTAGGTAGTGTGCTTAGTCCCACAGAACAGCGTCTATAAAGCCCCCCTCATTCATTAATGTCCTTGTCACCATGTGAATGTCCACATGTGTTTCCCAGTTGTATTTTAACTGCCTTTTTCTGTGCCTGATTTTCATGTTTTATACAGTCAAGTGCTGTGTAATGTTTCAGTCACTGCACATAGACAGCGGTCCCATAAGATTGTAATGGAGTTTGAAGATCCCACCACCTAGTGATGTCGTAGCCACCGTGATATGGTAGCACAATGCATTACTCACAGGTCTGTGGTTATGTATGTGTAAACAAGCCCACTACACTGCCAGCTGTATAAAAGCCTAGCACATGCAATTATGTACAGTGCAGAATGCTTTGTAATGATGACAAACAACTCTGTTGCTGGCTTGTGTGCATACCACTATACTTTCCATCGTTATTTTAGAATGTATGCCTATTTTTTTTAAAGTTACTGTAAAACAGCCTCAGCCAGGTCCTTCCTGAGGTGTTCCAGAAGGAGTCATTGTTATCACAGGAGATGACAGCTCCATGCATGATACTGCCTCCAAGACCTCCTAGTGGGGTAAGACATGGAGCTGGGTGACGATGATAGTGGTGATTCTGACTCTGTGTAGGCCCACGTTAGTGTGTGTGTTTGTGTCTAAGTTTTTACAAAAAAGTTTGAAAAGTTAAAAAGAGATTGTTTCTATTTTTAAAAGTTGACAAAAGATGGATACAAAGAAATAAAATATTTTTGTACAGCTATACAATGCATGCTTTAAGCTAAGCGTTATTACAAAAGAGCAAAAAGGTTTTTTAAAAATTTAAAGTTTATATATGTGGGATCTAAATGGTCACAAAGATGGAAATAAAGACACTGGGGACACCAGAAAGGGGGATGTGGCGGGGTCAGGGTTCAAAAATTACCTTTGAGTAATGTTTACTATCTGGGGAATGGGCCACCTGAGACCCAATCCCCACCACTACACAATATGTCCATGTAACAAGCATGGACGTGTACCCCTGAACCTAAAATTGGAAAAAGAAATACAAGTTTATAAAGTAAAAAAGTTGTAGTACACTAAAGTTAATTTATTAATGAAGAAAAATATTTTTATCAATTTATTGTCGCTTAAGTGTCCAGTGTTTGTAAAGTCACAGCTGTGCACAGTAATGGCCTAGGCCTTCACATTCACTCAGCACTCACTCACTGACTCACCCAGAGCAATATCCAGTTCTGCAAGCTCCACTCATGGTAAATGCCCCATACATGTGTCCTTTTTTTATCTTTTTTACTGTGGTTTTCTGTCGCTTGTCTACATTTAGAGATGTTTAGATGCACAAATACCTCAGTGTCACAATTGCCTACAGTATTCAGTAGAGTAACTGGTGCAGGTATGTAGGAGCAATAGGCTATACCCCTGTACCCCACAGCCCGGGGGTGTAGTAGGCTAGACCACCTAGGCTTGCAAAAGGACACTCTATGACATTCACATAACCACGACATCGCTTGAGAATGCATTTCTCAGAATGAATCTCCATTGTTAAGTGACACATGACTGTACAAGAAGGGACCCCAAAAACCTGAATTTATTGATTTAAAAATTATGTATTTATTCTTACATGTTTAAACTTCAGTCACCTTCAAAGTACTCTCTGTTTGATGCCATACACCTATCAAGACTCTTTTCCACCGCTCAAAACAGTTTTTGAACTCGTCGATTTTGATGCCTTTTAATGCTTCTGCCTTTTTTTGTTTCACCTCTTCCACATTGGCAAAATTTTGCCCTTTGAGGACTTTTTTCATCCAAGGGGAGAAAAAAAGGTCACTCAGGGTGAGATCAAGTAAAGAGGGAAGGTGGGGTTGGGGTGCGGGGGGGGGTCATGCCATTTTTAGCCAAAAACTGCTGAACACTCAGCGTGATGTGGGCAGGAGCACTCATAAATTACCCATCATTAAATGGGCAAACACGTTGAAAGAATCTCAAAAAAATTCACTGAAGCCGAATGCAGTCTCTCACAATAACACTAGCTGGCACACTGATACCGATGGGTTCCTAGAACACTTACCTAGCAGGGAAGCCTGCACTACAAGGAGCACCCCCAAACAATAATTCCATTTTTTGCCCCCCCCCCATATTATACTGTGAGTGATACAGCACAGTCTGTTTCCAGCCCGTGGAGACCAGGGCCACTGAGGAAAGAAGCAACAGTACCTACAGCAGGGTGGGCTCTTTCAGCTGCAATGCCTTTTTTCTCAAGGACCAGTTTTTCCCTGAAACAAGTCTTTGCACACTTTTCCCACCCAACTCTTACTCAGAATCCTTGAGCAGTTTTTCTATGTCTGTAGCCCAATCTTCTCACAGCCTACCTCTCCCTCTTTGTCTCCTCCCATGTCACCATGTCACAAAACTCACCCCTTCGACCCCCTACGGAATATGTTTGTGTCTCAAAGACTATTATTTAAGATATCAAGCATCCATAAGAATACATAAATTAAAAAGTCCTGCAAGCAATTTCACTTTTTTTTTGAGATAGTGTCTGGCTCTGCTGTCCAGGCTGGAGTGCAGTGGCACGATCATAGCACACTGCAGCCTCAACCCCCTGGACTCAAACACCTTCCCACCGCAGGTTCCAAAAGTACTAGGATTACAGGTGTGAGCCACTGCCCTCAGGCGGCAAGTTCATTTTTTAAACTTGCTTACCCTGTGCTAGGCTCCATGCTGGGCACTGAGAAACAAGAGCTAGTGTAAAATTCATGTGATTTTTAAAAATGAGTTTATAAGACCTCAAAGAAATTTTGTACTAGCAGCTGGCACTTCAGACAAGACCTCAGAGACTCAGAGGTCAGTCTTCTGCTGTCAGGGTCCCTGAGTGGATAATTTTGAGACGCCCCATAAGCTTCAAGAGTGCACTCCAATTTCCTTGTCCCTGCTGAGTCCCAGTTCACCCGAGGACTCCTCCCGCCTGGAGAGTTCTTCCCTTCCTCCTGTCTAAGCGCTGCCCTTTCAGACCCAACCCCAGCCCACCTGCAGGAGGCCCTTCAATGGCTTCATCCTCAGGGCACTCGCCTTCCCACACTCCTGCAGCTCTGTCTTTCTCTTGCTGACTCTCTGCAAAAGCATCCTTATTATTTTTATTCACCTATGTACATGTGAGTCTAAGGAGAGAGGTCATGTCAGATACAGTCAGTCAATTTGGCTGGCAACACATTTCCACATAGTTATACCAGAGTCAAAAACGGGAAAAAACTCAACAGACTTGCTAGGGCTTTAAAACCATAAATACAGGTTTAAAAATATTAGTTTTAAAACAATAACTGACTTCCCCTCTTAAATAAAATACCAACTGATTTAATTCCAGTATTTCAGTCATGTTGCCTAATTTTGTTCTTTTTCTTCATAACTGAACACCATCACGGGCTTAAATCCAACAAGCAGCTTACTGAGGCTCAAGACACTCAGCTTTCTGTTGAATTGCTCGCTTCTGCATTGTTGCAGATATATTCAATTGATGAGACCTACACGTCTTTTTTTTTTGAGTTGGTGTTGCACTCCGTCACCCAGGTTGGAGTGCAGTGGCACACTCATGGCCACCCCAGCATCGACTTGTTGGGCTCTGACGATCCTTCCACCTCTGCCTTCCAAGTAGCTGGAACTACAGACGTGCACTGGCTATCCTGTGCCATATAGACCAATGGCACAGGATAAAGATTCCAGAAGCAAAACCTCAATTTCTCAATCAACTCATCTTCAACAAAGCCTCCAACAACAACCAATGAGGAGAAGAGAATCTATTCAGCAAATGGTGCTGAGAAAACTGGCTGACCACATGCAGAAGAATGCCTGGTTAATTTTTTATTATTTATTGTAGAGACAAGGTCTCATCAAGTTGCCTGGACTGGTCTCAAACCTGTGGGCCCAGGCAATCCACTCACCTCCCTCTCAAAGTCCTGGGATTACAGGCTGAGCCACTGAGCCTGGCTGAGACCTACAAGTCTTATTGTTTGAATTAGCACTTTGCTTTCTCTGTCTTTATAGCAACACACCAGAAAATGCTGAAATAATCACACACACACATACACAAACACACACTACTGTGCAAAAATGACAACCATACTGCCAAAGCCAAATGAAACACTGACAGGCACCAATGCAACACCCATTAAATTACCATTATCATTCTTCTCAGAACTGGAAATGACAATACAGAAATTCATATGGAAACAAAAATGACCACAAATAGCCAAAACAATCCTCAGCAAAAGAAACAAAGCTGGAGGTATCACACGCCCAGATTTTAAACTTTAGTATAAGGCTACAAAAATCAAAACAGCCTGGTTGGTACAAGTACAGGCATATAGACCAATGGCACAGGATACAGATGCCAGAAGCAAAACCTCAATTTCTCAAACAACTCATCTTCAACAAAGCCTCCAACAACAACCAATGAGGAGAAGAGAATCTATTCAGCAAATGGTGCTGAGAAAACTGGCTGACCACATGCAGAAGAATGAAACAGGACCTCTACTTACCACCATATACAAAATCAACTCTAAATAGATTAAAGACCTAAATGTAAAACCTCAAACTATAAGCATCTTAGAAAACGCAGGGACACCCTTACAGGAACTGAAATAGGCAACCAGTTTCTGATCAAAACCCCAAAAGCCCATGCCATAAGAGATAAGAGAGTCAAGTGGGACCTCATCAAACCGAAAAGCTTCTGCAAAGCAAAAGAAACCATCAAGAGAGTGGAGAGACAGCCCACAGAATGGAAAAAAATATTTGCCAACTGTATATCTGACAAAGGCCTAACATCCAATATCTACAAGGAACTCAAATGTGACAAAAGGAGAAAAACAAACAGCCCCATTAAAGAGTGGGCAAAAGACATGAATGGATACTGCTCAAAAGAAGACATACAAGCAGCCAACAGACATGAAAAAACGCTCAGTCTCACTCATCATCAGAGAAATTAAAATCAAAACCACATTAAGATACCAGCTAACCTTGGTAAGAATGGCCATCATTAATAAAACAAAAAACAACAGAACCTGGAGAGAATGCAGAGAAGAAGGAACTCCTCTACACTGTTGGTGAGAATGCAAACTAGTGCAACCTCTGTGGAAAATAGTGTGGCAATTCTTAAAAGAACTAAAAAATTACCTTCCAGACGATCCAGCAAACCCCCTTCTGGGAATATACCTAGAAAAACTCAAGTCATTTTACAAAAAAGATACCTGCACACACATTTATTGCGGCTCTAGTCACAACAGCAAAAACATGGAACCAACTGTGCTGCCTATCAAAACTGGATTTTAAAAAGTGGTACATATACATGATGGAATATTACACAGTCATAAAGAAGAACAAAATTATGAGCTTCGCAGCAACTTGGATGGATTTAGAGCCCATAATACTCAGTGATCTATCACAAAAACAAAGAACTGAGTACCACATATTCTCACTCATAAGTGGACCCTATCATAATACTATAAGAAAGGGATTGGCAGGCCAGGCTCGGTGGCTCAGCCTGTAATCCCAGCACTTTGGGAGGCCAAGGTGAGAGGATTGCCTGAGCCCGGGGATTCGAGACCAGCCTGGGCAACTTGGTGAAACCTCGTCCCTAAAATAAATCACAAAAACTAGCCGGGTGTGGTATCTTGCGTCTGTAGTTCCAGCTACTTGCAAGGCTGAGGCAGAAGGATTGCCTAAGCCCAGCAGATCAAGGCTGTGGTGGCCGAGAGCGTGCCACTGCACTCTAGCCTGGGCAACAGAGTGAGACTCCAACTCAAAAAAAGAAAAAGAGAAAGAAAGGGATTGGTAGTAGCGGGACACTGCCAGGGGAAGGGGTGGGGCACAAAACATCAATAAGGGTGCATGATACCAATCCAGGCAAAGCGAGGGCCAATGGGAGACCAAACTTCACCTGTACCTAGACCACTCATGTACCCAATCCTGACTTGTACCCCACGGCCTTAAAATTAAATTTTTTAAAAAAGAAAGACTGACAGGCACCATGAAGCTGCTTGGAATGTAGGGGCATCAGTCAACGTCCAATAGCCTGAGCTGGGGAGCACAGGAGTGTTTATTGGGGGGGTCAGGATTGATGTATAATGTACAAAGGTTCCAACTGTCTGAAGGTCAAGGCTTGCTCTAACAACTCTGTTTACTCCAAAGCCCCTGTGGAGAGCAAGGCTCCATTGTCAATGAGGACAATTCACCCCCGTTGAACAACATCCCACCCCCCAGAGCCACAGCACCGGCACACCAACCATAGCCAGCAGGAAGAAAACACCTCTCTCACCTGCTGTGCCTCTGTATTTCCCGACAGTCAGTCTATACCGCTCCTTGCTGGAGGCCACTTGGAAGAAGTCGTATATGGCGTAGGCAGACTCGTTGGTGGTCTGCAAGTCCACTCTCACCTCATAACGGGTGGGAGTGCCGCTGGTGAGGTTGTGGAGCTTGTCAAGTCCTGAAAGTAGAAAGTGGAAATCAAGCGTCATGTGCGAGTGAGATCTTCAGGACCAGACATCACCTGAGACTCCACTCCACTTCCCAGTACTTTCGCTTTCCATCCTATCTGGCCTAGTTGTGCCAAGGAGTATGGAAACCATGTCCTATGGCAGGAGTAATGAGGGGACGGGGCCTTTCTGGACCGACTCTGCTGCCATTGGCTGCATCCCTCGAAAACAGGAGAGTTCTGTTTACCATCCATTCACCCCACCACGTAAAAGAGCTTATCCACTACTCATTCTAAGATCTCTGAGCAAACCACAAATGCTATCTACTTTATAGACACTGAGATCCAGATTATGATATTTTAATTCTTTACTTTCCAAATGTCTTCGGCAATTTCTCTCTCTATGAACATCTGTTCTGGAAGAAGGTAGAGGAAGAAGGGGGAAAAAAAATAAAACCAATGCTCATAACGCCCGGTATCACTGGCCAGGCTCCAGGGATGACCAAAATGCAGCCCACAATCCCAATCAATCAACTCTTTTTCTATTTCTGCAGGTTCTGAGAGATTCCGGCTGCAGGCAGACCCTGCAAAGCTTGGATCCAGCACATAAACCCCCTGTGACAGTCCATCCTTTGTCCTGGACCACTGCCAAGCCCACAGCATGGGAGCGTCTTCCTACTGTTGTGCCCTCCCCCAACACCTCACTCGGCAGGCACCTCAGGGTCCCTGTCACGTGAGCCTCTCCCTAAACATGGTGAGCAACCCTGAGCGACCGGACCAGCTTGTTGGGGGGGGCCTCATGCCTCCACTAGCCAGCCCCCCAGACCCTCAGAGATCATACCAAGCCAGAACTCCTTCATGGGGTCCCCAAAGCCTTCCACATAGCTCCGCCAACGCTTGAAGAAATCCAGCTGACCCGTGTTCCGCCTCTGGAAGACCTACGAAGGAAGGTGGACATGTCACTTAGAACACACAGAGCAGACATAACGGAGCAAAGGGGGATGGCATTTGCATTTCCCAAGGTGGTGCCAGGAGGCAAGAGCCTGCACACACACTGACTCCACCAGTGAGCACACTGTCCTTTCTGTTCCAGAAGGAATTTTAATATATATGTCAGTAGAGTCACTACATTGGTTCTACTGTGTTAAGCATTCTTTATGTGAACAGAAGGATGCCAGGTAATGAAATGTGTAGAACTAAGGCAGAGAAGGTTCCTGCTCTCAAGAAATCTTAATAATTTTTTTTTGTTTGTCTTTCAATTTGGTTGCCAGTGGTGGGTTGTGTAGGGCAGGACATTCCAGCCCTCTGCCAGCTCTCACCTGCTGCATTCCAGCTATTCAACTTAACCAGGGCACATTACATTTATATGTTGCCTTTGTCCCCGCCTTAAGCAGCTTGAAGTAGGAATTAATTTTTAATTCACTTGATTTTTAGCATGGTAATTATTTAATAATTATGGAGAAAAAAGTTCATCCAGGCCGGGCTCGGTGGCTTAGCCTGTAATCCCAGCACTTTGGGAGGTCGAGGTGAGCAGATTGCCTGAGTCCACGGGTTCAAGACCAGCCTGAGCAACTTGGCGAGATTTCCTCTCTATGATAAATCAAAAATTAGCCAGGCATGGTAACGCATGCCTGTAGTTCCAGCTACTTGGAAGGCTGAGGTGGAAGGATCTCCAGAGCCCAGCAGATTGACGCTGGGGTAGCTGAGAGCATGTCATTGCACTCTAGCCTAGGTGACGGAGTGAGACTCCAACTCAAAAAAAAAAACCAAAAAGCTCATCCAATAAATATTTACTGAGCACTATGTACTAGGCACTATGCAAGATGATGTGCAAAGTGAATAGACCAGAAACAATCACTGCCCTTGTGGCATTAACAGTCCAGTAAATGCAATTACTGAATTAAATAATCAAATAAATATACACTTACAACTGTGATCTGGGCTATGGAGAACAGATGTAAAAGCATGACATAGGAGGACCAAGGAACCAGGAAAGTGCCCTACGGATGTAGCTGAGCTTCAGGGTGAGTAAGAGTCAGGCAGGAGAAACAAGGCCAATGTTGAGGCCATGAGGACTGAGGAAGGAATGGGAAGGGAGGCTGGGAAAACATAAGGGTTAATCCAGGTAGGACGTTGACAGGGATTGTTGAAGATGACAGTCTGTTGTAAGAATGATGGAAATGACTGAAGGGCTTCCAGTAGGAAATGAGAACTTGATGAGATTCCTCTTGCTGCAGTATAAAGAATGGACTGGCCAAGGGCAAGAATAGAAGTGGGATGACCCATTAGGAGACCACTGTAGAGTTCAGGCAAGAGAGTACAGTAGCTCAGGGGCTGCCCTGAGACCAGGCAGAAGCAGATAGAAGGTAAGATTGAAAGATGTGATGAGAGACAGAATGCAGAACTGAAGAAGGAGGAAGTCAAGAATGATTCTCATGACTTTGGCTTGCTGATGACTGCTTCCCCAGCTGTTCATTGAGATGGGGATTCAGAGAGGAATTCATGGGTTTTATGAGTGCACCATGCGCTCACCTGAGGATATGGTCAGTGTGAGTTATTTTTGAGGTATACTGGTGGATGAAGACGCCACATGAGTAACTGGACAGTAAGGTCTAGAGTTCTAAACAGAGGGTCAGTCTAGACTTATTACAGTGAGAATGTGTCTGAGACAATGCAAGGAGCTCACTTTCCTCTTCCCAAGAACACAGGGAGATGACAGTTTTCAGCTTCCTTGTGTTTAAATTGGAGCCATGTGACTATTTCTAGACAAAGGGTAGTGCATGGGAGCACTGGAGGGGTGGGCTTTCCACGCTCTCTCTTCCATTGCCACATGCCACAGTGCAACAGGGAGGATCACACATTGAAACAGCAGAGCCATAAGACAGAAACAGCCTCCCTGAGTCACCACTTGTAATTGACTACCAAACCCAAAGAAGACGTTGCACACATGAGAAAAGACTTTACATATTCCATCCTTGGAATCTGGGGTTGGTTTGTTACCACAACATAGCCCATTCTATCCCAACAGGTACAGAGAGCCACTGGGACCTGGAAGGTAAAATGAAGTTAGGGAAAGGATGATGCAGTGAGGAAGAAAATAGGAACCAAAAAAGAAAATGGTCTAGAATCGATCCTTGGGGACCTCCAATGTCTAAAAGCCACAGGAAGAATGATGAGTTCATTACAGATAGAAGGAGTAACTAGAAGCAGAGAAGAAAAACTGGCAAAATGGGGAATTGCAAAAGCTACAGAGAGAAAGGTGAGGTCATCAGTGTCAAATACTGATGACACTCAAGGAGCATGAAGCCAAAATTGCCTCTAGAATTTAGTGACAGAAAAGTACCAGGTGATGTTGGCAAGGGCTGTGTTCAAGAGAAACACACAGGAACGGGTGGAAGAGTGAGTGAAACACCAGAAAAATGAAGGCAGAGCTGGGTACTATCTCACCAAAGGATGCTTTCTTTTCACAAACACCTCTGTTTGGAGGAGGAAGGCAATTTCAGTCTTGATAAGCCTTGCTTTTCCAAAGTGTCAGATCAAGATGTGAATAGTCCCTGTTATGAGCTTAAATAAAGGCTTCAGCAAGGACATTCATCATCATCTTTAGGACCGGATCTGGCATATATAGATACAATAAGTTATTATCATCTCTCCGTACATGTTAGTTTGCATTTTACTATGTCAGATTCCAAATGAACTGACCCACAAGAGATCATTCACACATCCCAATCAAGCCATTTTAACTGACACCCTCAGAAACTAGTCCAACCCCATTTTAGTAGATGAAAACACCCTATAGTAAACTATTTGAGAAGAGCAAATGCCCCTTGGCAAATAAGCCTCAAGGGAAAATAAATCTCTCTTTATGTCTGGTCCTATACTACTGAGTTGTCATTGCATTCTAGTGCTTACTCAATGTCCTGAACAACGAAATAAGGAGAAAAAAGAAGTCAGAATTGCATTTCAATGACAGTGGAAAGAGCCTCTGTGCAGTCCTTAAGACTTTCGAGATGGAAAACAAAGATGGAAGTATCTAGACACACAAGCCTTCCCCAATGTTCTTTCTAGCCACTTACCAGCATGGAGCTGGCCTCTGGGCAGCATCCTGGCCTATTCATCAGATGGTATTCATGTGGCCCAGGATGGAGAAGAATCGCTTTTAAAGGATTTTAAAGGCTCAGTAAAGAGGAGCAATGTACTAACAGCCATCCTTCAATGATTCTTGAATCCCAAAACACAAAAATTGGCAGTAAAAATATTTGATGGGGATGTTCTCAGGACTCCACGTTTTCCAGAGCACAGTGGCTTTCAGGAGAACCCTATAGAATCTGGGTTCATGCATCATCTCAGGAATTCAAGTCAGAAAACAACACTTAGGATGGGAAGGGGAACTGATGTGAGTCCGAAGGCAGAGTGAGTTTCTCACTTCTGGAAGTGGACTCTGTGTGTGAGTAAGGGTCACTTGCAGGGGGTAGGATGGAGAAGGCAAGCGATTTGGGGGCAGGGATTTTGGTCTGTTTGGCTCGCTGCTGGATCTGGAGTCTATAAAGTGGAGTAGGTAGTAGATTTATGTACACAATAAATCATATATGCTCCCAGGAAGACAGGCAGGCAGATCTCTTTGTAAAGGCTGCCCTCAACAAACATTTCCTTCCTTCTGTGTCTACTTCCTTCTGTGAGCTTGGCTTTCAAAAATGCCACACAACAGAATAAACATCCTGCTAGGGTCAATTACAGGCACAAAGGAAGGATACTGGGCTTCAGGCCTGAGGGAAGATAAGGTGTGGTTCACAGTGGTTCATAGCAGTGCGCAGAAGGAACAAGGGTGCCCTATGGGCCTAGTCAGGTGGAAGACCTCCCAGGCTGTACCCTGTTCTGTTCTTTCTATAAATCAAGCCTGAATCTTCCCAGCCAACCCAGGTACTGCCTTTCAGCCTACAAATACCACTGGGCAGATAATAAGTTTTATCCGCTGCCGCTCATCAGATGGCATCATTCTATTCATGGCTGCTCAAGTGTCTCTGGTGCCCCAAGTTCCAGGATGAATGAGTTAATGCATGCAGTTTGAGCCAGTGAGATCATGCTTTCTCTTTCCCGCAGTGAGCTGCCCATGTTCAGCGGATTGAGGCTACCTGCTGGCTGGGGCAGTGAGAGCCTCTATACCTTCAGGCACTGGAAGAAATAGGGCCGGGGAGATGTAAGGATCAGACTGCAACCCTCAAAAGCAGTACATCATATAATTGGATTGGGCTGATGCAATCAAAGTGCCATATGGTTTAAGCAGACAACTGCCCAAGAGAATAAAACCTCCACATAGAAGAGGAATGATTAGCATGGCCCAAGCTTCCCTCCTCCAGGCTGTAGTCTTTCAAATAAAAGTTCCCCGGGCTCGGTGGCTCAGCCTGTAATCCCAGGCCTTTGGGAGGCTGAGGTGAGTGGATTGCCTGAGCCCACAGATTCAAGACCCACCTAGGCAGGCAAGACCTCATCTCTACAATAAATCAAAAAAATTAGCCAGGTGTGGTAGCGTGCGCCTGTAGTTCCAGCTACTTGGAAGGCTGAGACGGAAGGATCGCCAGAGCCCAGCAGGTCGAGGCTGCGGTGGCCGGGAGTGGCCACTGCACTCCAGTCTGGGGAACAGTGAGACTCCAACTCAAAAAAAAAAAAAAGTTCCAAAGGCCTTGTGTCTACTGAGCAAGTGACCCCAGTTCAGAGGACTAAGCCCCAAGAAGGTCATGTGAGAGCCTGGCAAGGGGCCCCAGTTCAGAGGACTAAGCTCCAAAAAGGCCATGCGAGGACCTGCCAAGAGACCGAAAGAGGCCATGTGAGGACCTGGCAGGGGACCCCAGTTCTGAGAACTAAACCCCAGCAAGGCCATGTGAGGACCTTATAAGAGACCCAGTTCAGAGGACTGAACCCCCAAAATGCTGTGAAAGGACCTAGCAAGAGACTCCTGTTCAGAGAACTGAACCCCAAAAAGGCTGTGTGGGGGCCTGGAAGGGACCCCAGTCAGAGAACTAAACCCCAAAAAGGCAGTGTAAGTACCTGGCAACAGACCCAGTTCAGAGGACTAAACCCCAGCAAGGTTGTGTGAAGACCTGGCCAGGGACTCCAATTCAGAGGACTAAACACCAGCATGGCTCTGTGAAGACCTAGTGAGGGACCCCAGTTCAGAGGACTGAACACCAAACAGGTCGTGTGAGGACCTGGCAAGAGACCCCAGTTCAGAGGACTAAACCCCAACAAGGCTGTGTAAGGGCTTGGAAAGATGCCTTAGGGAGACTGTGAGTTAAGAGGCTGGAGTTCTGACATCTGAGTCAAACTGTGTTTTTATCACTTGTGTGACTCAACCAAGGTACTTCTTTCTCTAGGCCTCACCTTCTCCATCTGTAAATCAGAAATGATAAGCCCCTCTCATTTACTCCAAAGCTATTTTGTGAGTACCGTGTTTATAAAAGTGCTTTGAAGTCTGGGCACAGTGGCTCCCGCCTGTAATCCCAGCACTTTGGGAGGCAGAGGCAAGGGGATTGCCTGAGCCCAGGAGTTCAAGACCAGCCTGGACAACTTGACAAGACCTTGTCTCTGCAATAAATCAAAAAATTAGCTGGGTGTGGTGGTGAACATTTGGAGTCCCAAGTACTTGAAAGGCTGAGACTGAAGGATCACCTGAACCCAGGAGGTTGAGGCTGCAGTGTGCCGTGATTGTGCCACTGCACTCCAGCTTGGATGACAGAGTGAGACACCGACTCAAAAAATAAAATTAAATAAAAATGCTTTGAAGAGGGTAAAATATACCTCTATTTTACATCTCCTAATAGTTTACATCTATTAATATTTTACATCTAATAATGCCTACACATATAGGGCATTATTAGATCATGATAAACCCACAGGCCTTCAGAGTCATCAGCCTTAGTTTAACCAAGACTGTTCTAGGACAGGGGTTAAGTACTAGGCTCTATCCTTGCAGTGGGTTGGGACCCCCCAAAACAGTTGCAGCCCACCAACACCCCAGTCTTACACAGAGAAGAAACAGAGCCCCGAACTGTTCCATGGGGCAGCCATGACCAACTCCCTAGGCTAAGAAACTAGGCATGGCCCAGGGCTCCCCAGGCTCTGTGTGACTCACGATCCAGCCGCCTCCATCTGTGTCCATGTCGCAGTACACCCGCAGGGGTTGGCTGGCATCCCCGTGCAGGTAGATGGTATACATGCCACTGGCGGCGTTGAGGTTCTGCTGAACCTGACTGCAGTCCAAAGGGTGTGGAAAACGGGCACCAACTGGGGAAGCGAGAAGAGGAACAGCATTGTCAGAAGGGCAAGGAAGAGGTGAGGCTTTTGCCCTCATTAAGGCAATTTGTCTTGCTTGGACATTATTTCATAACCTCCTACTACTTTGCTCCGTCAAAGTCTTTACTTGCATATTATTTTTCTCACTCACTCTGCTCTCATCAAACTCTTGGAAATGTACCAGAACTAAGGTGAAGTTCACATCACTCTCCTCTGCTCCACTCCCCCCAAAAGTAAACACTCCCTGTCGCTCCCCTCTGGAATCACTTTGCTATGGAATGGGTTTCTTTAGAGCCCACAGCCACATTTCTACTTCCTCGTGCCAAGAGAAACCCACAGCTGTATCCACAAACTCATCCCAGGACACCTCTGCTGGGTCCCCAGTGCTTGTCCTCACTGCAAGGGCATTCAGAGCACATGGTTCCATGTTACCTGTGGAGAGGGTGGTAGACACACTCCTGCTCCGGCGATCACCCTTAAAGGCCACCAGGGAGATGGCATAGGTGACACCCTGCTCAAGGTCTTGCAACTCAAACCTCCGGATGTCTGGTGTCAGCTGTACCTCCTACCAAACAAAGGAGAAAGGGGACACCAGTGACTCCGCTTACAACCCCTTTCCCCACAGGGAGTCAACAGCAATCCTCAGCACCAATGACAAAAGCTCTCTGAGGGCACAGCGCTCAGTGACAGCCTGGAATCCCAGAGGGTCCCTGCCATTTTTCTGGAGGGCTGTGCCATGGAAATCCAGCACCACCAGGAGCGTTTGCTGAGAGTCATCACTAGGCACTTCCACATCAGAGTGCCGGCCAGGTTTCCTGGGGACTTCTGCCCTCAGATACACAAAGGACATGTGTTTAGCTACCATGGACAGAAAGGCTGGTGATGCCAAGCTAAGGAAACATTCACAGGGAAGGGAAAACCCGCCAGTGAGATCTGTGAGATAACAACATAGTGACTACTTCCTAGTTATAAACTTTCTTCTGAACCTGTCTTACTTCTTCTACAGGAACCTGTCTTACTTTCTCTAGAAACACAGGGCTGACCTTCCTAGTGGCTGCCGTGTGCATTAAGATACTGAATGAACCAAAGTGGCTTTCCTTTTTTCCTTCCTCCCTTCTTTCTTCCTTGCCAAGGAGAGAGAAAAATAATTTTCCACTGGAAGAAGTTCTGAAAATTTGCTGGTCTTCAGTTCCTAAAGGGAGGCATATCCCATGCAATAATGGTGAATCAATTCATTCAATAAATATGTATTGAGCACCTGCATGTGCTAAGTACAGTCCTGTGCACTTCCAATGCCATGGTAAACAAAATAGACAAACATTTACTGCCTTCAGGAAGCTGACATTTACTGGGGGAGCCTGACAATACACAAAATAAACTGGGACCAATGTGCAGCTAGCAATATAATCAACAAAGATCACCGGCTTCAGCAGTAGATTGCCAGGAGGCCAGCACCGAGATGATGGGCCCAAGGCAACCGCCTCCCATGGAGGCCATGAAGAGATGGCCCCGAGAGGAGAGGCAGCAACAACCAGTACCTTCACTGTGCCATCTGGGAATTGGTAGGTTAGCACGTAGCCGTCGATCTGAGCAGAGGGCGCTGTCCAGGTCAGGACCCCAGCAGACTGCGTTATGGTGGATGGATGGAGGTTTTGGGGAGGGTCAATTTCTGCAGTAATCAGTCAGGTAATTATTATCACTAAGACACAATGGAGGTAAAGGAATTTCTGAGACATCAATTTCAATTTTCCCTTCACATATCCTCCCATGTCTCTTCCTCCCTCGGGCAGGAGGTGGCTCTACTCATCCTTGCCACAGGGCCCTTCTGACCTTTGTTTCTAAAAGGACAGACCCATGAAGGACAAGAGAGCAAGAGGAATAGGGATCACTTGCAGCCAGAAGTTGGCAGGCCCCAGAGGAAGAGATTCATCCCCCCTTCCAGATTCCCAGACACTGGTGGCTGTGAGCGGTCTAGATTGGCAGAGGAGTGTCCGTAACAGCAGGGCTCCTGCTGCATGAGTCCAGGGTAACTTGGCAAAAACCTGCCTGGAAGGGCCTCTGGAATACCAGATGAGCCCCCATGCCTGTCACTGGGAAACTGTTCAGGGCACACAGGCAGCCCCGAAGAAGGAGCAGACCCGAAATGTACTGAGGTTTTTGACCCACAAGGGACTTACGATAGAAATTAAGTTGGTATAAAATATAAAAGTTATATTTTTTACATATCTGAGTGTGTGACCTTAGATGTACACCTAGTATAGAAAGAAGGAGGATGGTTGGGGGAATGGCCTGTGCTTGGATAAAGGAGAGGGAAAGGAAAGAGGAAAGGAAGAAAGAAAAAGAGAGAGATGAGAGAGACAGAGATGAGAGAGAGAGAGAGAGAAAGAAAGAAAGGAAGGGA